GTGCAAAGTCTCTGTAGAACTGGACAATTCCTTAGAGAAAGTGAAACTGCGTAGGAAGTCTTTGTGAGAGGAGGGGAAAGAAAGAAAGCAAAGGCAGGGAGAAAAAATCCAGTATGACCCCAGCATACGAGAGCATGTTCAGTGACACACAGAGATGTGCACACCTCAAGCCCAGTTGTCAGCGTTCCCTTCAGCCCGTTGCCTCTAAGGCCACGAGTGAACTTTCAGGGCTGACAGTAGGAACACTGACTGGAAAATGCAAACTCCTGTCTTCAGCGTTTGCAGCAGGAGTCAAGCGCAGCGCCCTGAGAGAGGATGGAGCATTTTCCCCAGGCAGTGCCATTATCTGGGGAGAAAAAGAGTGTTTCGGTTTTGCTTTCAGAAAAAAATGAAAAGGAGCAACCTCAGCGAGCCTTCTTAAAAATTGCTCTCTTGAGAAGAAATCCGCAACAGCAATATCCTCTCACTATTACTTACAGTCAGAAAGTGCTCCTGCTCCCAGATACACCTTTCAAAATGTGAAGCACTTTCTCCTATCAGCACTAGGTGCTGAACGCAGCGAGCCCTTCCATCAGAACGGAGACCAGCCTTCTCTGCAACGCTTGCTCGTGGGAGGAATGTGCAAGGATGGTCAGAACCTGAAATTCAAGCCGGGCTTTTTCTGCCTCACACAACAGTAAAATGTTTCTCGGTGGCAGAACACAGTTAGCAGGTCTGTTGATATGTGTCAGGACAGAAGATACCGATTTCCAGTCCTCGGCACTCAGATTCAGCACCCTGAAAAACCATCAAATTGACAAAATGTCCTTAAGATAAAACAAACAGAATCAATCCCGAGCGTTTTTCCTGTTGGTCCTTTGCTTCATGATCCATGAAGCTACTCTTAATTTCCCTATTCCAACCATGAGAGCTAGAAAAACAGAAAAATAGAAATGAGGACTGAGCTCATGAGACAAGACTACCCTCACCGAAGCGAAGTCGGCCCTGCGTGGGTTTCAGAGCCCACCCAGGCAGAGCAGCTCGCAAGACCCGTACCTAAGATCACAACGTACTCTGCAATTACAGCACAATGCTGACAATAGCATTTTGTCAGTAAAACAAAAACAAATAGTTCTGAAGACACAATAGGGGATATGGTGGGGCGGAGGGGGCCTAACTAAATAAGATAAGCAATTTTGTTCACTAGTCTTTTGAGCAGTAGAGCAGGCTGACAGCAGGGTTATAGGATGGCACGGTATTTCCCTCCACAGATGTCACTGGGACACTGCTGCACGTGATTTAAGATTAATCTCTTGAATCAAAATGCCACCATGTACACTAATGAGCAAAAACTCTCTGGCAGAGTATCCGTCCCTGGGGCTCCCGTTCCCAGGTAAGAAGCTTGTCTCCATGCTATTGTAGAAACTCTCTCAGCAGAGTGCAGTGAGGTTGGTGGTATAACTTGCCCCCCAGTTCACAATTTTCCATTTCAGACTCGCTGTCTCTGTCTTGGTTTCGGTCTATTTACTCGGAGCCATTTCTTAACAATGTCTAATTTCCTCAAGGAATCCCTCTGAGTCCCCTCTCTTAGAAACACTGCCATATCTTTTTTTTTAATCACTGAAAGGCACAAATATCCTTCCTGAGCTCCCTTACCATCCAGCCTGATTATATACATAGATTTCAGTTTCCATACATTTTCTACACAGTAGGAGTTCCCAAAACACAGCCTCTAGGGATATAAAGTGTGGCCCCAACTGCAGCTCAACGAGATGAAAACAAAGCCGATCAGGTACTGTTTTTACTGTTAATGAGCCTAACCAGCAGGCAGTTATTACTTAGTCTGGAAGACATAAGTGGTTGGAATCACAGTGCATTCATTTTTTATTTATAGCGATGCACGTTCAAATTAGAAGTAGCCCTCCAGCAGCTGGCATTTTGCCAGGGCCTGACCATCAGTGTGATAAAATTTGAACATCTTGAAGATGTAGAATGCCTTCTGTTGCTTTTTCTTTTAAATAACATTCTTCTCTCCTCCTACTCGTAACTCTCTTGACTATCAAAAGTGGACAATGAGGCTTAATTAATTTAGGAGCCTGGCCCTTACTGAAAGTGAAAGAAATTAGTCATTTTTCTTTCTCACTTGGTGGTGAGGTATAAGCCAGGCATGCGCTGATCTTCTCATAACAAAGCAAAGGCTCAACCCTTCTGGCAAATAAAAGAGTAGAAATGAACACTTGGACAAGAACCATAAAGAAATGGGCTCTTGGAGAGGATGCACGTCCTTAGCCTGTTGATCTATTAATGGCAACTGTAAATACCTCACCCCAAATCACTGTGACTGAAGCATTTACGTGGCGAGGCTCACAGAGCCTGGCCAGGAGAACGTGATACGAGGAACCCGCAGTAATTCACCTCACCTTGCTAGCCATCGGTTTCTAGTCTAACCCCTCCCCTGAGTTTCAGTTACAAACCTCAATAACTGTGTGGCAGACTTGACAGCAATTAACATTACTCAGCTGCCAGCTGGGTTTTAAAATCTCCCTTCCCAGTGATCTCGTTACCTAGGTTTTAAAATCAGCCTGACAGAGTGTTGTTCTGTGCTGAGGCACGGGGTCCGGCCTCTCTGAACCTGGTGAGATTTTGCTATTGATTTCAGGGGGAGCTGATAAATCAGCGGTATAGAGCGAGGGTAAAAGGCACTGAGCTCTTGTTTGGACCGTGAGGTTTGGGTTTTTTTGTTTTTTTCTTTATCTTCTCAGTGAGGGGGCTTCACAGAAAGCACTGCCGAGAACGCAGCCTTATCAGGTTAGTTCTTCAGCCCCGCGTATTACCCGCACGCAGGACAGAGCACGCCATGCTGCAAAGCACTCCTTGGCCCTCGCACCTCAGCGTTCGGGCTCTAACAGTCAAGGAGAACTTTCCAAGTCATTTAAAGCCAAGAAATAAGAGTTTAGTTGGTAAATAACCAACTGGAGTCACAGGCCCACCAGTTCCCAGCCCAGCCGTGCCGGCAGCTCAGCCCCC